CACACACACAAACACAAACAGATGTTTGAATGTGTGTACACCCAGGATGCATTTATCAAGACAGTGTGTTAGCAGCCAGGAATCCAGGATGTAGAATTTAGATGACTAATCCAATCTAATTTAAATGTGCTTGATAAATACCACCGCAGTGTGTGTCTTTGTGTGTGTGTGATTCTGGCCTCGCACGCTGGCCTTACCCACAGCTGGTCGGACACAGCGAACTCATCGATCATCATCAGTACTTCATCGTCCTACAGACAAGCAGCCGCAGGAGAGAAGGGACATGTTTTCTGAAGGCTCTGTTGTCCCGGAAAATAATATCATGGCCAAAACACACGATCAACTACCTATAAATCCAACATTTGGACTCTCTGAACTGTTATTTTCATTTTAAGGCCCTTTAAGTTGCTACATACTCAATAATCACCAACATTTTGATCATTAATTAATTGTTTTGAGTCATTTTTTAAGAAAAAAAAGTCCAAATTCTCTGATTTCAGCATCTCAAATGTGAATATTTTCTGGTTCCTTTAGTCCTTTATGATTAAACAAAGCATTTGTGGGCTTTGGATCTACAGTGATAAACATTTTTCATAATTTTCTGACATTTTATCGGCCGAACAAGTAATAAATGAAGAAACTGTTGTAATAATTTGCAGCCCTAAAAAAGAATGACACTTTCATCAAAAACCATGTCCTGGGTTGGAACAATGGGAGTCTTTATTTGCTCTACTGTTGACATTTGCTCAAGTTTTGGATCTGCCTGATCATTAGTTTAGTGCTTAGTGTTGCTCTTCTTTGATCTAAAACAGGAAATTGACTGAATTGTGTCCACTGGCCCTGGTGAATGAGAGGATAAAAACAAGATGAACAACTTCCCTTTGACCTCGAGTTAACCATCACTGGAAATTGATTAAAAAATGTCTTGATCTGATTTAAACATCACGTAGAAAACATTTGGAAAAGGCTGTCCTTTAGCGTAACGGATTTATTTGCAGCGGCATCAGAGCATCAAAAGCCAAACTCTTCCTGACCTTAAATGAACTGAAAACCTTAAACCAGAATATGTAGAGGCAGAGCTGTGGAGCCGAGCTGAACAAACCCTGATAAGCAGCTGGAAACAAAAACAGCCCTGCTGCTGTGGATGGTAGCTGTTGTGAATATGTCTAAACAGAGAGGTACTGTCCCACCCTAACCCTCCCTTTAAAAACAAACAGAGGTAGCCGACACAGAAACCCACTCAACATGCAGAGGATGAAATGAGGTTTATTTTTTTTAAGAAAGGTAAAGGACATGCAAACAGAGACAAAGGCAAACAGAAGAATGAAAGGTTTCATGTAACATGCAGTTCAGTGGAAAGAAAGGTTGAAACCAGGCGAGACAGAGGCTACAGTACACAGGACAGTTAGTCATTACGGTCACTGACTCTTGACAGTTAGTCAAACAGTTGTTTTAGAAGTGCACACAAAGTAATTACTTTCTCTGAGTAAAAAAATTCACATCTCAATATCCAGCAAAATGAGGCTTTCAAATTGAGCTTAATGCGACCTTGATCATCTCTAATCAAAACAACTGTAACAAGCATGCATCAGATATTCTATAGACAAACTAAGCTTATGTATGGATGTCTGTGGTTGCAAAAATTCTACTCAAATTTTCATTTTGGCTGTTATTATGTATTTTAAAAGATAAAAGTGAAAAATAGAATATAACATAATTATAATTATAATTGAACTCATATTGTCATTCATCATGTGTGCACAAATGAAAAAAAGGACTGAATTAAATAATTTCATTTTAATATTGGCAGCCATACACCTCCTTCTGCACGAAATAAAAACAGCATGCACAATAATGAGCAACTGATCCAGGTACAACAGCATCTATTCCACTGCCATGACTGAAATAAATGCTGATTAACTCTTGCAGTCAAAAACAAGCAACAGCTGTGTATGAGACAGAACGGAGGAAAGAGACAAAGAGATCAAAAGACACAGACATGGACATACACAACCTCTCTGTTTAGAGATATCCAAAATTGTTACCATGTGCAATTTGCAGATTTCTACTGCAAAACTGGTTATTTAATGGCTGTCATTGCTCTGACATTCCTATGACTCTAGAGTTACATGATCAAAAACATCCCAAGAACTCTGTTTAGACTTCAGAAGCTGATACAGGAAATGATTGCTGTCATATTGCGACACTGTGGATCAAATCTAATTACTGAAGCCTCAGTGGCATGTCACTGCCACTGTATTAGTGCTGCGTTAAAGTCTCATGGGCATTAAGTGGTGAAGTGACAGTGACTCCCTGCAGGAGTTCATGTGTTTGAACTTGTTTTTTGAAGTTGAAATCAGAGTCACAATATGGATGCTCCTGATAAGCAGTTCACTGTAGAACTCGCTACCATCTTTTAAACATGACGTGAATGTCTGTTGATGTGTTCAGTCAGCAGTGAGTGTGCAGGTCAGGTGGTTACCTTCGTTTTGAAGCTCTGCTCCACCTCCCAGAGCTGAGCCTGCTGTTCACCCACGGCAACCTTCGCCACATCCTGCTTCTTATTGATCCTGTTCCTCCAGTCCTGCTCACCACTCTTCTTCAACAAGGCCACTCTGAGTGGCGAGAGAAAGCAGAAAAAGAAGAGAAAAGGTTACAATAAATTCATAAAGTTCATAATAGTGGCAGGGATGTGTCCAGGGGAGGGGCATGGGGTGGCCACCCCTGAAATCTAATTGCAATCCCATTATTCTAACCTTTTCAACTCTGCACTCTTTCAGAAGCTGTAGTGGGCTCCATTAAAGTTAGAGTAAAGATACTTGTATCATATCAAACTAGATGACCTAACATATCTATCTGTACCAACCATGTCATGAAAGCATGTCTGGAAGGGGGTTAAATAACCTACAATAACCGAGATGTTGGGATTTTACGGGAACTTCAGTGCTACAACTCTTTCTCCCCGGGCGCTTCCTAGAGTCTTGGCATCAGTGGGTGTCATGCAACCAGCAGCAACTGCAGGATCGAACTAAGCCAACTCTCACCAAATAGTGCATAGTAAGCATGTTTCCCAAAATGTCAAACTGTTCCTTTAAGATCACTCAAAATTTGACTTTTGCAAAGATTTAGCCAATGAGAAATGAGGGACACATCAATAGCATCACCACAGAAAGATACCAGTGTAGAGCCAATACAAAGAAGACAGACAGCCCTTTGCACAAGGTCACTGCAAGGTTAGCACTTGTTAGAACTCCAGTGTTGCTTCAGCTGAGCCTTTAACTCAACCTGTCACAACACTGAAACCACAAGGAAACAGGGACTCTGCAACGTGCCCTTTAGTCTCATCTACGGGACTGTTTACAGTGAATATAGCACACACACAGTTAGCCACAGCAGCCACTGGTGACAGCCAAAGTACAATTACACATAAAGATCACTTAGAGACGTCAGTCACTGTAACTGGAGCTGGGAGAGTATTTGACACTTTTTGGTTTTAACATGGAGTTAAAGCAATAAAAAAGATGCTGGAGTTTATTTTTGCTGAAGAAAATGTAGACCAAACAGTCGGGGTAGTGGACTGTATGACAAATACAAACTCAAAATCACGGTCTGGACATGCAGTAAATAAAAAACTGGGGTGCCATATAAAGCAATGGAGGATTATAAGATCACAAACTGAAGTGTAGTGTGACAAGAACAGAGGTTCAATTATTGAGCTCTCATCTCTTGAGCAGGGGAGCGGACAAGACCCCTAATGGAGGGGTCAGGCTGTTTGGCAGTGCCCTCTGCCCCCTCTCACAACCACCCCTCTGTGACCCAGTGAGGGGACGTCCTGTTCTGCCCCGGGGGGCTCCAAAAAACAGGATAAAAGTAACACTGAATAGATGTCTCCAGCTGTATCTGGGATACAGATCCCGCCTCCACTAACAACCCCTTTCTAAAAGACTCAAAGAGGTCCTGAGGTGGTGAAAGAGCGAGAGAGAGGGACAGAAAGTACAACGAACAGGCAGGAAGAGGCAACACCCACACCAGCCCTTTAACACCAGCTTACATGTACTTCTATTATGTCATCAATCAATCTAGAGCGTATCATATGCTTGTTAACACATGACATAACTAGACTGTTATGTAATCATTTCATTTGTCTGGGAATCCAATATAGAGTGTCAGTTAAAAGTCAAAGTTACATGATAAACAACTACATTTAAAGGCACTGCAATCATTTTATATCATACAAACTATGGACAAAAATGATATGTATCATCAGTTGCATTTCCAGTATTGTATTGGATGTGTATCTAATTATTAGTATTATTAATATGTTTTCTTTATTACCATGAACATACACACACTGTAGTTTACCCCACATACAGCAAATGTGTATAAATGTGCAGCTGTCAAATGTACTATTCCCTTCTGTTTAAGTAACATCTGCTAGACACTACATTGTCCAGCTGTTTTAGGAAAGATACTTTATTTGATTTTAAATGCACATATGTGTATATGTTTACTGTATATGCTGTTTTTAAAGATGCACATCTTCAGTAGGAACCATTGGGCGTGGGCCTGAGAGCCACACTCAAGTTGGAAAGTAGAAGAAAGTAGTTAAAAATGGAAAACTCTAACAACCCACTAACTTGCTCTGTTTCGTCCTTATTATCTAACCCACATTTTGAGCAGAGAATGAAGGGATCTTCCCTTCCCTCAGCCTTTAGCTTTGTTGGCCAACAAACATTCTGGATGCACAAAAACAAGAAAACAACAACTCTCCAAACATTAAAAGTCAGTAAGAGTTTCCGGGGCTCACCTCTCTTTGATGGACATGTGTCTGGCCGTCATCATGTCGCTCAGCTCTTCTCCGTCCTCGAGCTGAACCGGGCCTGCTGCGGGTCCGCTGCCGTCTACGTGTGCGTCTGCCGCTGGAGGCTGACACACACTGCGGGGCAGACCAGATGCCGCTCTGGATGTTACCACAGTGGACTCCGGCAGCTCTGTGAGCACGAGCAGACACACAGAGGAGTGAGTAAAATCAATAACGGGAGGGCAACTACAGAAATGTTAACATGGTTCCCACGGTGGATTAGATTTAAAATGGCATCGTTTTCTGCTTAGGAAAGGCTTATGTGAATAAAAAGAGGTGTGAAACAGGATTTAAAATACATTGTGCAATTGTGATCCATTTATCAAACTCCCTGATAATTATTCTTTGTTTAGGATACACCCCTCCAAATAACTCAATATCCCAAAATCCTGTGACTACAGGATTTTGCGTAAAAGGTACAGTCATCACTCTCACAGTGCAAAGTAAGCAGCACAAAAAAGCGTGGGAGCAAACATCTTTCATGCTTACCAAGAGTCTCTGGTATCTGCGCTGCTTTTCACAGCTGTAAACCTCCCTGCCACAGCTGTAATCAAATAGCCCACGCTGCTTTGTAGAAACACTGAAGCTCTCTTGTCGAGGCACTACTGCCTGCTTTTTGTCTGTGCATCCATACCGCTCTGCCCCGGCCCCACTCCACTGAACAGCAATCATCTGACTGATTTCTGTGCCGTCTGAAGTTTTGCACCGACAGAGCCAATCAAAGTGTTTGGCCGCTCAGACATAAAGGAAGCTGTAACCGCAATCTGAATGTAACATTTTCACACGCGACTCACAGACAGGAAGTGTGGTTGAATGACAAACGGTTGTTGACTGTGGACTGAAGTTGACACCTGTTTTTGTTCAGTCTTACAGTTTGCTCTTTAAATATTTAAAGCCTACTTCACTCTTCTTTCCAGCATCACTGTCTTCTTTAAATGTTGTTCTGTTAAACCACAACCACTTAACAAATATGTGTTTTTCCTTATAGTATGTAAAACACATACAAAAAACTTAGCTTTATATGATAAATGCTAATATCAGCATGCTAACATGCCCATAATGACGGTAATGTATAGCATGTTCCCCATCTTGTTTAACGTTTTAGCATGCTAACATTTGCTAATTTGCGCCCTTTTTTCTGTTAAAAGAAAGTCAACCTCATACAGCCTCTTACTTACAAAAATATTTGTACTCTTTTGCGGACAAATTACATTAAAACCTGTTTTAAAGGTGCTAAATGCTAACATGACAGTATCATGACAGTGCTAACATGGTAATGTTTTGCAGGTAAAGTGTTTACCATGTTCACTGTCTTTTCTAGTGTTTTAGCATGCTAATATTTACTCATTTGCACTCTTAAAAAAAAAGGTTATCTTCCGTTAAAGAAGGTTAACATTGTACAACCACTTACTTTGCTTACCACAAAATTCTTTGTCCATGGATAAAATACATAAAAATCCAGATTTTAACATGCTAAATGCTAACATGAAGAGATTATGACAATGCTGAAATTGGCTGGTGTTCATATTAGTCTTACAGTGAAGCTTTAAATATTTATAGCCTTCTTCCTTCACCTATCCAGCATTTGTTTCTTTTTTTTTCAAAACTAACATCCAACAGCCACTTTCTTACCACAGAATGTTGGCACTAGCCTTGTAGCCTAGTTCTACAATACAAAGGAGGCAGAGAGTAAGAATCATCCTCTCTGCTGCTCTTACCTCCGCTGATGGCCCTGCTCCTCTGACTGTCTGGATCCTGTCCTTCCTCCCTCAGATACGCCTCCTGCCACTCCTGGAACATGTGCCTCTCTGAGCTCTGCACGGCCACCCCCCCTCTGTCCAGGCGCTGCTGCTCCGCCTCCCCCTCGTCCTGCTCCCCCCTCCTCTCTCTTCCAGTCTGGGGCTGGGGCATAGCGGCCTGCCTGATCGATCCCTCGGGAGAGGGCAGCTTCCTCTTCCCTCCTCCAAGATCAGCTCTGTCTTCTTCCCTGGCATCGATGTGGTACCTCTGGTGGTCCACGGAGTCCTGGGACCTGCAGGCCGGGTCGTCGGTGTGGCGAGGGGGCAGGGACGAGTCAGAGATGGAGGGAGGGAGGGGCTCGACCCGGGGTGCTGCTCTGGTTATGTGGATGTCTCCGGCGTGGTCAGTGGAGACGGTGCTTCCTGCTCTCAGAGCAGAGGAGGATGATGAAGTAGGGAGGTGTTGAAACCGAGAGCCGGTACCGTTCTGAAGCTGTGCAACAAGGAGGAAGACAAGACAGAGGCAAAAAAAAGAAGTGGGTCAGTTTGTCACAGAGGCTGAGAAACGGATCGGGCAAACTGCACACACACACACAC